GGAAGTTCGTTATAAGATACATCTAATTCGCCATGAAGTTTGACAATAGCATTTTGTTTTGCCAACCAAGCTTTTTTATAGGAGACAGTGTATCCATACTGCGATTGTATAGCTGAAATCAACACAACAACAACTATATGAGAGTTTGCTTTTACCATGGGCATGATGGCTTGGCATATCATTTCAGAGTCTAAGTTGGGATGATCTTGGTTGACCTCTCTAGCACAACATATGTGAGGATCGTTGTATAATGTTAGTTTTCATCTGTTGTTTTTCCTTTTCCTCTTCGATACGAGAACCATCCAATTGCATCCGTTTTCGCGTCGGGCACAGCAGCATACATATTTTTCTATCGTGGAGCAGTCAACTCTCGATTGAAAAGAATTACGGATATTGTAATTTTTTATAGCCATCATCGCTTCTTCTTTGCTTGAAAACTCTATACCTAAATATAACTCACCATTATTTATTGATGAGTAATATCTATAGTCACCGAGATGAGGTATATCCGTAAATTTTGGCTCATACATTGCACATTGTACATTGCACCATAATCAGCTTCATACATGTGTGTTGCGGGGTCAGTTTGTGCCACATTTGCTGGAACTTCATCCACATCATCATCATCATCGGAGTTGAATTGCGATGATTCTGGGTGAATGAATAGTCTAGTCTCAGCACCATCCGCACCAGGCTCAAGAAGCGGTTCTTCTGGTGGAGATGATGGTTCCTCCATGCTCTCCACATTTAGGTCGAAGAACCTACTACTTGCACGCCTTCCCCTTGAACTGGAAGGCATATCGACATTCATATCAAAAAAAGTCGCAGTCGAATGCCTCCCCTGGAGCTTGAAGCCATCATGTCAAATGGAAACTGCACAGATTGTTGCGTCGATGGCATATCCATATTAAGGTCAAAGGGATTTGCAGATGAATGTCTTCCCCTTGAACTGGACGCGATGTTACCATACGGATTTTTCGTCGACCCACCTCGGTACATATCGTAAGGAGTTGCGAATGAATGTCTCTCCATTATGGCATTAAAATCATTACACATTACTGTCGTCGGGCTATCAACTTTATCAACTTGTTTAGCCAGCCCATAGTGGGAGCTTAATGATTGACCCCGAACAACACACACTTGAATAAAATTTGCATACATCTCAATATCGGCGTCTGAATAATTACTTTGAGCTTCAACCATCATTTCAACATCATCATTGTTCAAAAGTTCAAACGTTGTATAAGTTAATGGCAACAATGATGTTGGAAATCTGTATTGCAACGACGACATTCTTCTAACTACTTCTAACATGAATCTTCCTCGAAATCTTCATTATCAGCTCCTCAAGAGTTATGTTTATCTTCAATGATATTTTAACACGCTCATTTGATACGAAAACAACATCGGTTTCATCTTCTCGAATTTCACCATCATAATAAACAATAGCTGAAAGTCGCGCCATTCTTTGAGTTTAAAAGTGCGGCAATATTATATCTGTAAAAAAACAACTGAAACAATGTTGATTAAATAAATAATATATGAACGAAAATATAACACAATAAATTTTTTACACATAAACGTAAATAATTTAAATAATATAATTTTATATTATTACTTGTACCGTAAAACTATTTCGACGTATACTCTCGCTTTCTAATTTTACAAACACAAAAATTAATTGACAACAATTAGTATAATATTTTTTCAAATAATCATAATAAACAATAAGTATAATAAAAAAATTATCACAAAATTACCTTATAACGAAAAATCGTAGGAACTTCTGAATCAAATATGAAAAGATTGTCAGATTGTTGTATTAATTTTTTTATAATAGAGAGAAGATGTGAGGAGTTCCCCTGGAAAACTATATTTCTAGCCGGGAAAAGCTACAAGACGCGGTACTTGCACCGCGCCTTATATAATTATATCAGATAAAGCTAAAATGCGGCCCCTGTTTCTCGCCTAATATAATTATGTTAAAGATAAGGCGCGACCCTTGACCTGCGCTATACTCCTGGGTGGCCTAAGGCGCGCCCCCGGGGCCGCGCTTTACACACGTGTATGGTAAGTCAACATAAGGCGCGTTTCATGGTGCGCACCTTACCCCACGTAGTACCAAATCAGCGTAAAACGCGTTGCAAGGGCGCGTATTTCTTTAAAAGGTGTTAGATAAAAAAATATAATTTGAACGATACCTGATCAGTAATTATACTATTTAACGATGATATATAAAAAAATCGCCTAAAAAAACTGTTTATTTTTTTTCTTGTTGAATGGTTTAACAAAATTGATCACTCCCCATATCCAAACGATACTGTTCTTGATAGATTATAAGAAAAGAGTAAATATATTTGCTTTGTGGTTGTAAACTATGGTGACAGATCGTACATGAGTTGATGTTATGAACAGTTCTTTGACATTAATAAAAAAAAGGACCCGCTAAAAGTTGTGAGCACTAAACATCCAAATCTACACGTCAAATTAACATCCCTAGATGGACTTGGTGTTCTAGGTTTCATTGGCCTAGCAATGGAAGATCTGACGGCTTTAAGTCCACTACAAATGGGTGAAGCATTAAGCCTTTTCAATGGAAGCTATCAAAGGACAAGCAAACCCTAGGAACCCTAGGTTTGGTTTCAACTCTTAACTTAATGGTAAAAGAAAATGTCGTTATTTTTAAAAAATTCAAGCTTGACGTTTAAGGGTAATTGTATATATGGGATGAATATATCGATCTCCTCTCACCTTGTGCTAGCATTCGAGCTATCATGGAGTAAGCCACCTACTATTACGTTGACGTAGGATCTAATTAGTGTGCTGGCATGGAACCAAGTGGATGATATACTATCTATCTAGGATAAATACTAGGTATGTGTGATCTCCCATTCAATGACGGATCTAGAAATAAAAAAATAGAGTCTAAAAATTTTAATACTTTTTTTTAATATAATGGGTATGCAAAATATATTTTTCTCCTTTTTCTTTTGATATATTAAACTATATTTAATATCTAATCTAAAATAATTGGTATTCATTTGAGGCCATATGCATCCGCCCTTATCCCATCCAAGAGTCCTTGTTACCTTTGGAATACATTGTGACTTATGTACTAATATGTAGTTTGTATTTATTGGAAAAATCATTACGAGTATGATTAGATTATCAAGAGACGGTCTCTTATCAAGCATCACATGATTTTATGATTAAGTTAATTTAGACAAATTATTGAGGCAAGGTTGATTTGTTTGGAAAAAGTTCTTTTAAGATAATTGAGCTGACATATTATATCGGTAAAAATAAAATATTATCTTATAATTATTTAGACTATTAAGTAGAATAAAACCTAAAAAAATAGCTTTTTGAGTTACAGTCACATGAGATTGGGGAAAAGGGTTCCCTTTTTTACCCAACGAAGCTTCCAAATGAAAAAAAAAACCCTACTGTTTTTCTTTTATAGGCTTTCATGATGCTGTGGCATCTTACACTCTGTTATCCTCGATGTTACATTTTGCCTTCTAATCTGGTCCCATGCTCACCTGACCAAATTCACATCTTCCTCAACCATCACGTAAAAATTGTTTCCATATTCGTAATTTTAATTCGATTTTAGTTTGATTCTTATTCATATTAAAAAAAGAAATGAATTAAACTGTTATCACCTTAATCGTTACTGCGATCAGGAACGGATATAGAATTTTATGTTAGAGGTTCCGTACTTATACAATTTTAAGTGGAAACAAATTTATAAAATTTTAGGAGAACGAAAATAGATTTTTAATAAAAAAATAAAAAATAAAAAATATATAAAATATATAGAAAACTGAATTTTTTAAAGAGACAACTTCTCTTACCTTCTCACGTAGGTCCATTCATGCTTGCAACTGCATGCTATAAACCTCGGGGAATCGTCTATTTGGTTCACGAGTTAGGCTAGCTGAATTTGCATCGCATGGAGTTTTTGGAATTGTGAACCAGAGACTGAATAAAATAAAGGGTTTGTATAAAAATTATGTAATTTACCACTATGTTGAATTGGATAGTAATAATACGTGGATTAATCTTATTTCAACCGATATCTCTTAAGATCCTGAGTTTATATATTAAAATATAATTATATGTATGAATCGAATGACCTCAGTAATAAATAAATTATTGTTATTACTTGAGGTTTCGTGTTCGAACACCAGAAAAGTTAGGGTGTAAGCGTTTAATGTCTAATAATTGAGAGTTATCTTTGAACAAATATTGCATTGTACTTACCCCAGATTAATAATATATATATATTATTACATTCTATTTAAGAATTTAATAAATTATATATAGTTTAAAAAATAATATTTTATATCAAAATAATAATAATATTCATTTATTCATCATTGATTGTGATGGTCCCATTTTTTCAATTCAGCCATGTTTCATGTTTTACAGATTCTTAGAACATGGAAACAAAATTATTGGTAATTATTAAAACTTTTTTAGCATTTACAATCAGAAAATTTATATTTGGTTTTTGCAACTTTTATATTATTCAGTGAGAATAATGTTAAAAGAAAGTGGGAAATACTAAACCAATTCAATCATTATTCAATTGACAGAACCAATTGATCATTTGATAATTTATTTTTTTATATTGAATTATGTAAAATATATAATAAAATAAAACATGAAATAATATATAAATTTTCTCTAAATTAATGCGAAAAAAATATTAAACATAATAAAAAATAATTAGGCTATTTATGTCCCCTTTTTAATCAAGATAGTTAACGGTTAATGTAACGATAAAAAGGTTAATGGAGAATGCGTGATTAAATAAATAAATATAAAAATGTACACTTCTAATATTAAATATACCGATCAAATATAATTTGAAAAAGAAAGGAAAGAAAAAAGTTGCTCTTTATTTGATCGTGATTATTTCATGCAACATTAGCTTAAATCTAAACTAGTTTTAAAATTATAAAACTTTACATGATAATGATTTCACCCTTATTTATGCAAGCACATTCGCATTTATAGATATCTCGATGCATGTCTTTGAATTGTATCGATATCTAATTTATTAATCGATTGATCTAAATTGTAGACGGTAAAGATTATATCGTCAAGCTCCATAGCTCATTCTCGTAGGCATAGAGCTGTGAGTTTTGGTTTGATATTTGCCAACTTACGTCCGATAATTGAATGCCATCATGGTGACAAAGACTGAACACCGCGTTAGGGTCACTAAAACAGGATACTTCCTTGCTCGTCTCTACTTGGCCATTTAACTGCGATGCCCCATATCGGTCCAGGGTGGCCCAGTCATTATGACGATCACTAGCACCGTCGTTGATCGGCATGTCGTCGATGGATCGGTAACAGGGCTCGATTATCGTTTCTTGATCGAGAAGTGGACTTTCAAGTCCGGGAATATGCGTAAACACTGCATGCTTATTTGCATCGGTAAAGCTTGGATTCTCCATCTTGCAAGTGTTTCCCATATGTCGAAGAATTCGATCCACGGCCTCGTCGTTACCGGAGCAAACCATCGGCGGAGTTTTCGGGCTCTCGAGGGTGCTTCTCGGATGATTCTTCTTTCTAAATACACGGCAAACCACCCAGCCATCTTCACACACACAATCTCCAATGGGATTGGACACATAAGAGTCATGGTTAATGGTGTCTTCGAGTCTATACTCGTGCATAATCCAATCAGATTTTTTACCATGGGGAGCTCTTCCTTTATAAAACACCAACGTCTTCCTCGACCCGATTCTTCTAACACCGTTATAGATAATCTTATCTCGCCCTGTCGCTTTCCAGAATCCGGCAGCCGTCGCGCGGTTCGTCCTGGTCCCCGTCGGGTATTTCTTGTCCTTGTGACTAAAGAAATACCAATCATTCTGCGGGGTGGAACCTATTTTACACTTTTCTGCACCAAAAGAAAAAAAAACAGAAAAAATCCTCTTACTTATAGATATAGATATAAGTTGACAAGAACAAATTTATTTCGTCAGTCGTTAACGGTTCATATCTCCTATCCGGTTCACGATTGAATCTTGATCAGCTACGACTCTCCGTCTAAATTAGAATGGACGAAGTGTCCAAATAAACTTGTTCCGATCAACAAGATTTGTGAGTACCTTGTAGATCCCAGGGCTCAAGCTTGTTAAGATCAACTTCACGTATAACATCAAGATCAATCTTCCGGGAAGCAACTTTCTTTCTGAGGTAATAGTAAAGGAGTTCTTCTTCTGTCGGATGAAATATAAAACCAGGAGGCACCTGAGATTGTCCATTAATGGATAGATTCATGTCTTTCGAATGTGTTTAGATGAATAAGGAAACACAAAGGCTGGCTTTATTCCACATGAATTTATAATGGTTTTAAAAATGGAACTGATCATCGGCCATGGGAGACAAAACGACCGATAAAGAGAAAAAGGCCAAAAGGGAAGATGTGTGTTAAGAGTAATGTGTTTTAAAAATACTTTTATATAAAATAATTAAAAAGTATCTTTTTAATGTCCTAAACACGACAAAATGAACCTGCATACAAGCCCTTTACCATTTTAAAATATAATAAATTGTTGAAGAATTGTACATATAAATATATATACACTTTGCCGTAACCATTTTTTTAAATAATTAAATATTATTTTAAAATATTATGACTTTTATTTGAAAATTTAGATGGTTTTAAATTGATTTGTATAAAATTGGAAGGAGTCGCCATCGATCTTTGGGTTAGGTAGGTCCAATACTAAAAAACGTCTTTTAAAAATAATTTTAAGAAAAATCATTTTTAGACAAAAAACTGGTCTGCATTTACAAAGATTCGATTAAAACGGGTTCGAGAGTCGATTATACGTGGGGAAGGATTAGCACTCCTACAGCGCCCAAAATTAGTATTGTGTCTCTTACATGTTGTCGAAATGGTGAAAATGATGAATCGAATATAAAGTTAACCTATGACCCGTTTATTGAGATTTAATTAATTTGAATTGAATTATTTAATTAGAGAAAATTCTTTAACTTAAAAAGAAATCTTGAGATTAGAATCCTCCTTCGAAAAAACTATTTCGACTATTTCTTATCCGTAAAAAATATTTCCCCTTTGATAAAATACGAATCGAATATAGAATGAAAATCGATATTTAACATAAAATAAAATAAATCGTTATTTAAAAACATGAATTACATTGTTTAACGTATCCTATCCTATCATATCATATCTTATACTTAACTGCTTTGCGATTGAAGGGAGAAGGGTCACCCATGTTTTACATTTGTGTAGTTTTGTATTATTTGCTTTTCTTCTATTTGAGATGTGAAAATTGTGAGTTACATCGCCATCTCAAAAGATTATACAACCCATTGCCTTACCCCACCCTAAGAACAACTGACATTTATCAGTGTTATCTAGAATAACTAAAGGCTAAGATCAGAAACATTTGAAGAGACATCAACACGACAACGTAACAACAAAAATAATAATAATAATTAAAAAGTGATATTATTTTTTTTGTAGACGTCAAGATTGACTGCTTAGCTTAGAAAAGGAAACCAGGCTAATCATCTCCAAAAATTAATCAAGTTATATATGATTTCAGTTGCAAATTTATCGAAATATATAATGTTTTACATTATTAAATTTATATGTAACATTAAATACGATAAAAAATAAAAACTATATATGCGTCGGGTCGTGAACTTTTATTTTAAAATTGGAATGTAATAAAAACTAATATTTAGAAGCCATAAGGTCAACAAGTTAGCAAGTAGCAATGGACATGGTCATGGTCATGGTCATGATTCCTTGCTATGAACGTAAAGCAGCAGCAAGACAAAACAGGAAAAATTAAACCTCGTGATTCAGGTGTGCCATGCAGTGATCTGCCGCGTGTAGATATAAAATCATGTAATAGATTACTGGCATAAAATGAAATCATGTGTGGTATTTATTAGGATTAATATGAAGTTTAAATGAAAATTTGGGGGTGGGTGTTAGTTTCTTGGACCTAAGCATGATTTGTATTGGGGGACAATTGATGGGACAACCACTCGACCTTTCATCTATCTTCATCATTTGGGTAGCAATTAAATGTTTTATTAAGCTTAATACTAAGGCGATATTTTCGAAAAATCATCTTTTAATACATTATATACCATTCAGATATTCTTCCATCTTTATTTACTGATCTAACATTCTTTGTAGAAAGGTGTCCCCTGAAACGTGTTTTATATTGATCTGGCACCATGTGGGGTAAGACGCCACTTGGAGCGTGCCTTAGGAAACATGTAAAAATTACAGATGTTAGTTTTGTAAATATTTTTAAAATGATGTTTAATATGTAATTAATTTCTATTTAAATGATATTTGTGTAAAAACGTCAACTTTATTTATTTATTTTTTGTGTAATATTATTTTTTAACAACAGTTAATAATATTTATTGACTTTTAATATTAATTGTTTAAAAATAAAAAAATATTAAAATAAACTTTTACTTATAATTGATAGATTAAATAAATTATTATTTATTTTTTAAAAAAGCAATAAAAATTAAATTTGAATAAAATTCAATAAAAAAGAATATAAAACTAAAAAATATCACCTCTTTATTTAAAATATTCTTTATAATATTAATTTTAAAAAATATAACATAAATATTAAATTCTAATTTTATTAAAAATTAATAAACATTATTAACTGTTGTTAAAAAATTTAAAAGTTTATCTTAATATTTTTTATATTTTTAAACAATTAATAATGTTTATTTACTTTTAATATTAATTATTTAAAATATAAAAATAAACTTTTAATTACAATTGATAGATCAAATGAATTATTATTCACTTTTTTAAAAAATCAATAAAAATGCAATAAAAAGTTAAAATTCAATAAAAAAATAATATAAATCTAAAACATATCCCCTCTTTTTTTAAAATATTTTTTATAATATTAATTTTTAAAAATATAAAACAAATATAAAATTCTAATTTTATTAAAAACGAATAAACATTATTAACTGCTGTTAAAAATTTTAAAAGTTTATTTTAATATTTTTTATATTTTTAAAAAATTAATTTTAAAAGTAAATAAAATTTATAATTTTTTAAATTATAAAATATTTTATTATCATCGTCGTCATTTTGAAAAAGAAATACTAGCTATAAAACTTTTATAAAATTATTCATATTTTAAAATACTTACTCTCAAAGTTTTCATATACTAGATTATACGTATTGTGTAATTTTATGCAAAAATAAAAAATTCGAGTTATAAAATAATTTGTAAAAGAATATTTAAAGATTTTAATGTGGAAAGTTTTTTTCACACACAAAAAATAAATAAATAAAGTTGACGTTTTTATATAAATATCACTCTAATAAAAATTAATTACATATTAGACACCATTTTAAAAATATTTACAAAATTAATACCCAGATTTTTTACATGTTTCACAAGGTGCGCTTCAGGAACGTGCCTTTCTGCAAAGAGTGTTAGATCGGTAAATAAAAATGGAAGGGTGTCTGGCAGGTATATAAAGTATTAAAAAGTGATTTTTCGAAAAAATCGCTTAATACTAACAACATTCCATTTATATGAAATTCTTGACAAAATGATTCAGAAATTACTTTAAAAATAATATTACTAAAATGTAACGTTTCTATGAGAATATTTTAATACATTGTTTGGTTTGTTTAGCATAGATGTAAAATTACAGAGGAATATAAGATTACTTGTATATTTTACTAAATTATCCTTGTGATATATGTTTTTTTTAATAAACTTTAATATTAAATTATAAATATATGAATGAAAATTTATAGAAATATTTTAACCGTTATACTATCGAATTTTTGAAAAAATATATTTAATATATACTTAGTATATTAAACTTATATTTTAAATAATTTTCATAAGTATAGTATTTATTTATATAAAATATAATATACTATGAAAAAATAATATTATGATCTCGAGTGGACAAATATATTATTCTTCAATGTATATGATCTATTTTTTAATAGTTTAAAGCTATATATTATTTTAAATAATTACTTTTTTTACAATACTTTTTACCTCATAAAATTACAACTAGTTAATATTTTAAATACTCAAATTTATTAATATTTTATTAAATTAAACTCTTTATATATTAATATTATATTAAAAATAGATTATTCCCTAATAATAATATTCATACAACCATGCTGCCTCAAATTTAAAGTGCTTATTGTTTCGTAAGCCCTGCGATTTGGCACATACTTCGATAAAAAGACTCTAAGTACTTAAAATAAATAAAAAATATAATTTAAAAACTTATTTTTTTTAATTAAACCTTATATTATTAAATTCTATACAGTCCTTATTAAATAATGGACAAATTCTACCTGCAACGCCCTCCAAATGACCCTCAAACTGGTATCTCCTTTTTTAAAAGCCATCGGACAAATTGTAGCAAATCATGTTGAATAATGCATACCATGTCTTGTGACAAATTTTTAGAAGTTACAAAATATACAATAAATTTTAAACTTTATTAAATAAATAAATAACAATCGCTAAATGTTATTAAAGGGCGACATAGCATATTAAATTAATGAAAAATATCTTATTTAACCCTCAATTATAACTAAAATTTCATTTTAATATTTTTCAACACTTTAAGAAATAATTCTAAAAAATAGAAATTTTAGAATTTTTCTAAAATATATCAAAATAAATTATTTTTAAAATTAAAAAAAAACATTTTCAAAAAAATCCAGTTATCAAACAATGAAATTAATTTTTTTATTAAAGAAATTATTTGGAACTAATTATTCATTTAATTGTTGTTGTATTTGTAAAATAAAAAATTTATATTTTTTGTTGTCCGAAATTTTATATTATCAAATAATAAAATTGTTTTTTATTAATGATTTGATTTAAGTATTTAACTTTTATTTAAAAAAACTAAATGTAATTTTAAAATCATATATCCATAATATTATAATATCATATCAAATAATTTTTAATTTATATGGTACAAATTTAATATTTATAATTAAAAGATGATATTTATTTTATCTATATCTATTTTATTTTCAATTCAGAGAACCTAATAAAAAATATTTCAAATTAAAATTAAGAGTAAAATTAAATTTTAGTTATAATTGAAGGGTCAAGTGAGTTATTTCTTAATAGTTTTGTGCCATTTCTAACAAAATTAAAATTTAATATTCATTATGTAACTTTTAAAAGTTAAACGTTCAAAAAGATAATTTTGACATAGTTTAATGACTATTTGTAAGTTTTACCTTATAAAATTAGTGGTGAATTACAATAAATGGCATGCATTCTAGAAATTTCCTTCAATTAAAATTTTTAAAGCACGACCACTCCCTCAACAGCGATGAATGCAAATATTGTCCAATGTGATTACGTATTTACCATAAAATCCAAACTTTTTATATTAATTATCTATTTTACTGATTATGTCTGTCTTGAAATTTTATTTATATCTATCGTAATATAAAAAATTTATGTTATTCATATATATGTCAACTCTCTAAAATATTTTTGAATCTAGCACCAATCCTCAACACACCTCAATTATTTTCCTTATCAATTAAAAATAGGGGTCGGATGAAACCCCAACCAAAAGGGTTTGGGATATAGGTAGTTTATATATTTTAATTATTTTCATTGTTTTAAATTATATTTAAAATTAAATATTAATAAATTAGACAACTCATAATAAAATAAATCACATTATCCTCATAGAGGGATTAAAATAGGAGAAATTCAAAAGTTTAATGATTAAATTATTTTTTTAAAACTTTAATAATCAAAATAGAAATGAGAAGATAGTTCAATGATGAACATTATAATTTACTCTATATTTTTTCTTAAAAAATGAATAAGCGAAAATAAGCAGGGAGTATCACTTGTCACATAACATAATTACTGAATAAAAAAAATTAGAACGAACAACTTAAAATTGAGAACTTTAATTTTAAAAAATAAAAGTCTAATATAAAAAGATTCCAATTAAACCTAATAATTAACCATTATGAAACATGGAAATCCAATGAAGAATACCCCGACAGTGTTAGCACCGATATTTGGTTGGGCAGTCTTTTTTCACATTTCCAAAGTTATGTTCGTTGAGGTGATGTGTGAGACCCTCTTTTCATCAAATTTAATCACAAAATTGTTTAAAATTTATAAAATATGATTATAAAGCATAGGATATGTGTATTGGGGTCAATTAAAGGTACAAAGTTTTGAAAAACCCTTACAGAAAATATACGATATGCAGGGATTAGAGGGAACAGACGTGAAATTTTAGTTGAGTTGTCGACCATTTTTCAAAAGAACATTTTCGAGTCCCAATTTCCACACAATATATATATATATTTAGAGAGAGAGAGAAGAGAGGGAGAGGGGGTTAGGATTCACGTATGCAGTGTAAAATTCTTTTAGTTTTACACTTTTTAGGACCGTTGGATTAAAAAAAATCAAAGGTTGAGATTAACTCATTTTTTAGTGAATATCTTATCATTTTTTACTGTTAATATCAATATTTAATTTCTTTTAACAAATGATCATAAAAAGATGTAACCCAAAAATTTGGCTAGTGACCAAAACATAATTTTTGAAAGTTTAGTAGCTAAAGTATAAATTTGAGGAAGTTTAGAGACCAAAGTGGTATTTTTCCTGAGAAGAATTTTATTTCGTAAATGAATAGTTCACCCCCAAGAAAGATGCTTTTGTGGGAATTAGATTTTTGATGCGAAATTTGTATTAAAAGCTATAAGATAGTAAAGTTCGGTAAAATATTCAAATAACATGATTGAAAAATTAGGAAAAATTGAAGGATGATGTAAAGAGGTTAAACATATTATTTTTATATTTTAGAATGTTAAACTTTGACATGAATTCTTGGAATTAAGTTCAACATTTATGTTGTGACATGAAATTAGCATCGAAAGAATTTTGAGAGAATTCTTTATATTTGTATGCATAGTTAGAATGGAATATAACATTTACTTTTGATTTTAGTTGCTCTGTAATTGATGTGTGTAAACCATCCAAGTTCAATTAGAGTCAAGTCATTAACAAAGGAAATGATGAGAGCTCTTATAAAGCCTTTGGGAAGACTACATTTTGGTTGTGTTTAAAGTATGAAGGAGAGTGCATGTTTATGGTGTATCCATGCTAAATGTAAGCATTGGCTTGCGACGAGCCAGTGGCTGAGTTACTATGATAAGAAGTGACTCTTGAATATTTTGTGACTTTGTGATTCATGAATTTAGGTTAAATTTGTATTTAGAAGATTAAATTGCATAAATGTTAAAGAAACAAAATTGTACCGATTTTCATACAAGAAGTGTTTTACAAGTATCATGTGACATCTCTAACTCATATTCAGCTCATATACAAAAAAATATTGTTACATGCACAAACTAGAAAGTTTAACCATATGTAATTGTATCTTTTAAAATAATATTAAAAATGTTGCCTTTTGTGATAGGTAAGATAATGAATAAATAATCTACACATTTTTTGAGTTTATGACCAATAAATTTCTTTAGATAATACATTGTAAAAAAATTCAAATGGGGTGATGAAAATTTATTTTTTTCAAATAGGGTGTTTGTTACGGTGACACTAAAAAGACGTTGAAAGCACGTGATTTTGGTGATTTACAAACATTGCCTTTGATGATAGGTAAGATATCATCAAATGAATAGATAATTTATACATTTTTCTAGTCTATGACCGACAAAAGTCTTTAGATAATACAATGTAAAAAAATATTCAAATGGAGTGGTGGAAAAAAAGTTTCAAATGGGGTGGTGGAGACGTATTTGGGAAGATGATCGGATGACCTAACGATTTCTAGATTGTATAGCTCATTAGACTGCACACATCATGAAATATGAGAATTTATGTTACGATTATTAACGTTATTGGCTTGTAACAAAGCGATTGTTCCACTATCAATTCCTATTGAATTGACGATGTGTCTCGTTAATAAAAATTTAATATCTAATTTAACCTCTAAAGTGTTATTAAAAAAACAATATGATCGTTTAAATCTTCTAAAACATAAATTGTGACTCGTCGTGTAAATCTACACAAGCCAATCACATGAAATTAGAGTTTATGATGGGTGAACGAAGGGGATTGACTTGTGAAGACCCATCCGATGAGTCACGGTTTATGTTTTAGAAGATTTAAAAGATAATATTAGTGTTTTAACAATAGTTTAAGAGTCAAATTAGATATTAATCTTTTTATTAACTAGTCACAATTGGATTATATATTTTGATCTCACACGTTATCGATTTATTACATTTTGGTCACTTTAATGTTAACTTCCATTACTTTAATCATGTGGTCCTCTAGTAAAATAAAATAACTTCAAACAAAATATCAATTTGGCTTTAAACTTTTATCAAAATCTTAATTTAGTCAAAATATCAATTTCGATCATTTACATTATCGATTTCTTACAATTTAATCACTATGACATTTGACCTCCATTATTTTAATGATGTGGTATATTAGTAAAATGACATCATTGTTCTAATGCTCTCTTACACATGAAAATTTCCCTACACATGAAAATTTACTAAAATTTTAAAAGCCTATCTCTTTTCTTCTTCATTCAATCAAATATTTTTTTTTCTATGTAAAATATGGCGACACTTCAAGTAGCAAACCCAAAGGAATTACCATCATTAACTTCTTCTTCTTCTTCTTTGTTTACTATAAGACAACATTTTTCTTCAAAATATCCATTGAAGAAAAGCTTTTTGAGGATGCGTTACCGTTTGGGAGGGATAAGCTGTTCCTTTGCTCCAGTGGTAACAATGTTGTTAATCGAGTGATTGGGTAGCAGTTTACGTGTTAGTTTTCAGCTGTTTCTCCATTGGATTTTGTTTAAAGTTTGCAAATTTTGTGAAATTTACTGGCTTCTTCCACTCTCCAACTAGAATTTTTGTAGGGTTTCCTATTGTTTGGACTATTGACACTTGAAAGTCTCATTTTTGAGTGGTTTTGGACTCTGAATCAATCGACTGAAAAGCAGACAGCGGTGGCAATCCACTTCTGGGTGAATAAGATGTAGTAGGGATGGACACAAAACTGTATGACTGAGAAAGATATGACTGAGAACGAACATATAAAATATTAAGAGGATGAACTTATAAAATTTTAAAAAAAAATTTTGTAACTGCTGGCATGAATGGAGGCATCTGGTACGATGTTGCCCTCGTTGTCGTCCATATAACTAAAAAGGTCAGTTATTTGAATGTTGGTGTGGTAACAAACGAACCGTCTAGAAGTAGAGAAGTAGAGATGTATTAGGGGACTCATGAGGCATTTTTCTATTTAAAAGTTTTAAATTCTTATATAATTCAAGTATCTATTAAAATTTTCTATTAATAATATGTTTTTATCCTTAAAATATATAAATTCACTTTTAAAATAATTTGTAAATTTCATCTTTAATATAAACACATGTGTCTATCTTTGTCTACTAGGGTTATGTAAATTGCAAGACAATAACACTGGGAGCCTAGGAGGAAGGCTTGAGGATGGATGGTTGATAATTAAGGAAGAAGCTTGCTAAAATTGACGAGTTTTCATGGAAGAGATGATGTTAAAGAAGATGAATTACAGGCGGTGATTAATATTTTGACTAAATTAAATATTTTTCTCATTAAAAAAATAAAACAATAATTGTATACTCATTAGTATTTAAATTTCAGTGATGAAAAGAAAAAAACTTTCGAGAAAAAAAGTTGAAGGCATAATTTTCATATGATGATTTCGAGGAATTAGATTTCTTAAAAGATAATCGCTTACACAGTATTTATATATACACAAATTTAAACATTGAACAGAAGAAAAAAAGATCAAATAACACAGTATTTCAGTTGTTCATTACGTTTCTAAGAACAAGGAAGTTTTCCTAATGCTCGACCGGCTCCGTCGACCGGAGAATCCAACGGCTGTCGATGCCCCATTTCCGCATTTGGCCACGGTCCTAACATTCTCCATCAGTTCTTGAGTTCGAGCTTCTTGTGACAAAATCTCCGACAGCTGTTCCGTGCCGATCACCAGCTTCACTTTCCAGAATCCACGACTGCCGTTGTTCTTGTTGTTGTACCTGGAGAAAACATCAGTATGCGATCTCTTTAAAACCCCCTGGACATCACTCGACAACCTGTATGGAGAAATGGCCGACGCCGACGACGGCTGGACTTTGTCGGACTTGGACCGGACGTGCCCTTTATTGCCGTCGCCGTTATCTACGCTGCTTCCGTTTCCGTTGAGCGGAAGTAAATAGTATGTTTTCCCGGGGAGGAGTTCTTCATGGTGACAAATCGGTTTACAAAGCAGATCATTGCTTCGGAAAATAGCATTTCCAGGGAATTCATCGACGATGTTTCGTGCCGATATCGGCGCCGAAAACTCCATGATTCCGCCGTTCGATGTTACGACTTTGATCAGTCCGTCGGCTTCTTCTTCTTCTTCAAAGCCCCCGAACAGGCAGTTTCCCATGTGTAAAATGACAAAGAAAATAGCGTGCTTGCAGGATGGTGGAGGTTTAAAGAAAGGGGAAAGACAATATAGCGTCGGTGGTGGGATTCTTCTTCAGAGATTCCTTATTTAATCCAAAAGATGGCAATACAAATCCAGACAAGCGTAAAGAGAAAAAAAGATAAGAAATTAGAGCACTATTAATGGTGCATGCTTATTACAAGCCAACATCAAGTGCCTATTTGTGAGAGTTTGGCCCAACACTACGCGTAGGGAAAGGACATTTTTTATGAGTATTTGGTGTAGTAACTTGGACAATGAATCATATCACATGCTATTGTGGTATAAATTGGATTTTAGCGAATAAGGTTGTGTTCGTATTTGTTCGTTTATTTTTAACGATATTTATGTTCTATTTATGTTCGTTTAAACTTATAATATCGTGACTATTTGTTTATTTATAAAGGTATTTGTGTTCAACTTATTTAACATTCGGGAACATGTTAGTTTATATGTTCAAACGTTGGCGAATATGTTCATCAAAATTGGTGAAATACACCCTAATCAAGCTTCTTAAACATCACAATTTGAACTTCAAAGTTCACGTTATGTTCAATTTAGTTCATACATTTATCAATATTTGGTTTATACATTTACCAATATTTCAAATGGGTTTATGCGTGAACTGAGGAGGGGTGGAGACAGTTGTCCCCTGAAATTTTTAAATTATCTTATATTTTAGACATTTTTAATGTATTTTTATTGATAATCGGTTTACACCCTTAAAATTTTATAGGTTCACTCCATTCTAAAATTTATAAATTCGTTCCCTCACATAAAATCTGGAGTCCGCCCTTGTATGTTTTGTTCATGTTTGTTAAATGAATACAAAATTTTTGTACATTCATATTTATTTATTTAATTTAATGAACAAACCTTTTCATTTATGCCTCTCGCTTTGGGACTAAGTGAACTACGTGGGGAGGGTTCATTTATGCAGTACGGGTGGGAGTGGAACCCAAGTAAAAATAACGTCTAATTTAAAAGGCTTAAACATAAGAAAGGTTCCAACGTGTATTTTGATTTCAATACGGCAATTAACTTTTTTTTTTTATTTCAGTTTGATACATAACATTTCAATTCGTAATTTAATTTAAATTAAATTATGACGGACAGTTAATTTTGAACATTAAAAAATATTTTCCCTCTTATATTCTCGTTCTTTTTCTTCTTCTTCTTTAACCCAAATCATTTCCAGATTTGCCTGCTGGTTCAAATGTCCTCTTCAGTCTTCATCTTGGCCGAGGGGTTTTGTGAAAATTTTAAGAAAAGAGCGATTTCAAAGATGGGAAGCAGCAACTTCCATGGGAGTTGTTCGATAAGGAAGCTTAGTAATATTTCCCATGGCAGCAATTTCAAGTCTTCGTTTTATGGCTCTGCCAACCTTCCATTTCCCAGAGCTGCCATTCCTTTACTTAGTTTAATATTTCTACAACTCCTTACCGTTTTCTCTCTAACTTTTTCCTTACTGGATTTCTCGAATCTGACCAATTTTTTCTTGTAGAATCTTGTTTTTCCCCTGTTCGTTGCGCCGTCAGTTTTCGATTCTTGTATTGGTGCTTGTGTGAGATTGGCTTTGGGATTTCTCTGTAGTTCTTAACACTTACAATATGATCTATTACCAGGGGAAAGTGAAGCAGATTGTTGGGTCAACTCTTACAGATTCAAAGGAGGATAGATCAACCCTTGTAAGCAATTTAGAATCGGATGAGTCGGCAGCCGAGTTCGCGGAAATGTACAAAAACCCATTTGATGGGTTTCTTTTTTCTATATTTTTTTTGGCTTTTTGTTGTGTTTTGGTTGGTGATGAAATGGGATTTTGTCCGTCAAATCTTTACCCACTTGAACTGGTTTTAGGAAGAGAGGGAAATGGGATTTGCAGCCTTCGGTGAAGAAGAAAGAGAAAGGGAAGGGAAAGGGAAAGGGAAAGGGAAAGGGAAAGGGAAAGAGAAAGAGAAAGGGAAAGGGAAAGAGAAAGAGAGGGAAATAAATTTTTTAATTAATTTTTTATTTTAGAAATTATTTTTAAATATTAAAAAAATATCAGATGACATTTAACGATCGGAATTAACGGTCCGTCACGGTCTAACCCAAACTAAGTTACGGAATAAAACATTAAACATCAAATTAGAACAAAAAAAACGTTTAACACCAAACATAAACCAAAGTACACGGGACATCTTTTTTTATATTTAAGCCAATTTAAAACGTACAATAACATTTTATCCTCTTAAATTTATGTGTATAAATTATTTTTCAGTCAATTTATATATCTAACGTTATAAACGTTATCATTTTAATTATCTCAAACATAATAGTGTTACAAAATTCTTTAAGTAATACATGTCATATTCAGGTAGTTTTAAAAATTTTATTTAAAAAATAAAATATTTATTTTTAAAAAATCATAATTTTTTCTTTCAAAAATACAAAAAAAAACTTCTTAAATCTCTAATTCCACCCCATATTAATATTTGTTAAATGGAGTCATCCCGGCCAGTTTAACGGTAACAAGGAAGCAATGTCATCGTCAATAGGGATGGAGACAAATCCCAGCAGTGCTCCAATCACCATTGCAACACCACTCATCGTCGCTTCGTTTTCTTCTCTTTTGCGTCTCTCTCCCTTTCTTTCTCCAATTCATACCATCGTAGCACCACTCCTTGACCACCATTTTGTCATCGTCGAAACCCATCGACCAATCATCAGATTCCACTTTCAACCACCCATTATTTTCAGTCAAATAGGAAATCAGGGTTTTGAGATTTGTGGATTAGGGTTTTATGAAATGGGGGGCATTTTATGTAAAATAGAAAAGTGTTTGAGTTTTTTTAAATATATTATATTTTGAAGTTTTTTTTTTTAAAAATTAAAATTATCATAACGTGACATGTGTTATTTAACATAATTTTTTAACACTGTCACGGTTGGAGATCTAAAATTATCAAAACGTGACATGTGTTATTTAACAAAATTTTTTAACACCGTCACAATTAGAGAACTATTTTAAAATCACGTTTTTGGGTGTTTGATCAATTGCGAAAGTATGGAGGTTTTGGTCGTGAGTGGTTGGTCGTCACATGTGTTGGGTGTTCAATTAATTGAAGGCATTGGTGGCGACTGACAGTGGCAAAAAGATTAAAATTAAGGTTTTAAAATTTTTATTTTTTAAGATTTGATTTTTTTAGGTTTTTTAAATTATATTTTTTATTTTAAATTAAAATTATTAAAATTACCAAAACATGACATATGTCACTTAACGAATATTTTTAACGACGGTTAACGCTCGGACACCTAAAATGATAATGGATAAAATGTTAGGAACCTCTTATTAACCAAAAATTCTTTATGCACCAAATTATATTTCAAGGTATAGTTTGAGCACTTATTTTTAAATTAAGCCAATTATTTAATACATTTGAGTCAATTTAATAAAAATATTTGATATAAAAATATGTGTCTAAACTATACCTAAAATTAACTTTAGGCGCCTAATGAATTTTTTACCCAAAATAGGTGTCTAACATTTTTAATATTACACTTTTAGATACTTATACCGTAAGTCGTTAAAAATTGTTAAGTGACTCGTGTCACATTTATATATTTTTTAAAATTTTTTATTTAAAAATATTATTATTTTAAAAAACTCAAATCTCTTTAAAATCACAAAAAAAAAATCAAAATCCAAAAATCTTTAATATCAAATGATATTTACAACTATAGTCGGTTATCTCCGACCACAACCTCGTCGCCGAATAATTCCCCACTTGTCGTCACCGAGTAGTTCTCCCCTTTGTTATCACCCATCCAAGAACCAACTACATCTTTATTATTATCTCAAATCCTTAAATACCTAAACTCTTAAATCTCTAACCTTAAATTTAAAATGTGGCCAAGTTGGGGGCATCGCCTCACTTGAATTTCATGGAAATTTATGGTGTGAACGTACTACGGAAGGGGATTGTAAGACGGGCGAGGGATTTTAAAATTGACAGAAACTGCGTTTCTTAAGATTGTTTATATAAAAGAATATATTTTTATTTGAATGTTTTTCTTGAGGTTTTTTATATGAGCTAATAGTATTTTTAGTATTAAGTAAAAATTAAGACAATAATCTTTTATATGAGGAATTTATGGAAATGTTTCCTGACTATAAGAAAAGTATGTTTCTAAGAATTGTTCGTATAAAATAATATCTTTTTAATTTTTTTAAAAAGTGGATCATAATTTAAATATCATTTGAATTTACAATTTTCAAACATAAAGATGATATATAATTGCTTAAGTACCAATTTTGGACATTGTGGACTTGCTCATCATTTCTTATGCGTAATCGACTCCCAAACCTTTTCAAAATGAGATTCTGGTTAAAAGTAGGCTATTTTTATATTTTTACCTAATTTCTCTTTAAAAATTATTTTAAAAATAATTTTAGGTATTTGACCTACCTAACTCAAAGGTCGATGGAGACTCCAAATTTTTTATTTTCAAAACCCTATCATTTTCAAAAGTCGTGCTGTTTTTATTGTGTTATAAAAAGGTTGTCGACATTGGGTAAATATTAAAAGGGTAAATTACACATTTTCATTTATTCGTTGGTATTTTTTTATTATTTTATTGAATCATGAGGATAAAAAACTATAAATCACTTTGCTCCTAGTATGAATTGAACTTAAGTCTTTTACATGAGAAACAAATCACCTAAGCAATGAGCTATGCTAGTCATTTAGTTAAATTTCATTACATTTTGTATTTAACTTATATAATGGTTTAATCACAAAATCAATATTTTGTTTAAAAATACTCACTTACTCATTATTAAATTAAAAGACAAATTGCACGAATCAACTTACCTTAGTGGTTAAAAGAATCATTGTTGTTCCTAGAGGTTATGAGCTTGAGCACCAGTGGTAGTAGCAAGGAATTGAGCGGTCATTGTCAAATGGTTGAGAACATTTAGA